TTCTTGCTATCTTTATATTGATGGAACGTAGCTTTTGAATTTGCTAAGAAAGGGGTTGTCTTGCTTAGAATATTAAATAAACATTTTTGCTACATTACTAAGGATACGTAATAAATGAACTTAGCATTTATGAGATCAATGATTTGCTTTATGAAATCATTTGCTTTTTCAAATAAATATTTCTTACCATACCAATTAAATTGACATCCATGATTGAATTCTTAAATAGTCATTTTTGAATGGACCGTTGCTATCTTATTATGGTAAGTGATTAACCTTGTTTCCTTGTAATACTGATTACTCTTAATCATATGTGAGTTATGATTCACACGAGATCATTGACCCAAAGCTCAAGATGAAAAGATCTTCAAAGGTTAACAAGGCAAGAATCTTTATCAAAGGGAAGGATACTCAAACAGTCTGATTGAGAGAGCCTATATAATCGAAGCAGCCAAAGAGAAATGTGTGTGCTTGGCTGAGAAAAATACTAAGAGACGTATATGAGACAAATCCCAAGTCAAGGCATCTGAACCTACGCTCGGTGTTCTAGATAGAGTTCTTATTCCCTTCTTATATTGTAATTGGGTTATTGAGGACGAGCTAAGTGTAGCTTCCTCGGGTTGGGTAACGTGTGTTGTGAGAGCTTTGTTGTAAAGCTGAGAGGCTCTCTACCCGCAAGGTAGAGAAGCATAACTCTTCCTAGAGAGGATAGAGTTGGGGTGGCTCAAGGGTAGACTAGGAGAATTTCCCTTGTAATCATTCAAAGGGTTTTTAGTGAAGTTGTTAAAATTCCTCCGAGGGAGGTCGAGGTTTTTTAATCCCTTTGAGCAAAGGGATTTTTCCTCGTTAAATCCTTGTGCACTTTACTTTTTCGCAATTCTTGTTACCCCACACTAGAATTTGGCGAAAAACTGTCACGGTTCCACACACACACAATTCACTCCCACACATCAATTGGTATCAAAGCCAGTCTTCACCACATAGGGGTTAATACCTTGGGAAGAGATCCGGCAAAATGAATATGGTTGAACGATTGGAAGAAGGGTACTCGACTCAACGACCACCATTGTTCAATGACAAATACTATCAGTTCTGGAAGAGTCGGATGGAGAACTTTATCAAAGCCGATAATTATCAGGTATGGAATGTGATAGAAGGTGGCGACAACGTCATCACAAAGCTAAACGGCGAAGGTAAAGTTGTTCCTAAACCTAAAGCTGAATTTACTACTGATGATTATCAAAACCTCGAGCATAATGCCCAAGCTCTTAAATATTTGATTTGTGGTCTTGGTCCTGCTGAACACAACCGTGTACTAGGATGTAAGACTGCAAAGAAAATGTGGGATTTGCTCGAGGTTACTCATGAAGGTACCTCACGTGTAAAAAATTCTAAAATTGACATATTTATGCGTAATTACGAATTTTTCGTAATGAAGCTTGGAGAGTCAATTAAGGATATGATTACACGTTGTACTAATATCATCAATGAGCTTTCAGCCCTTGGAAAGGAAATTACTGTGGAAGATCAAGTGAGAAAAATCTTGAGAAGCTTGCCCTCAGTATGGAAGCATAAGATCACGGCTATTGAGAAAGAAAAGGACCTATCCACCATGACTCTTGAAGACTTGACTGGTTCACTCATGACATATTAATTAGGACTTCAAGAAGATCAAGACGTTGAGACTGTAAGGCGAGAGAGAGGAATTGCTCTAAAAGCTCGAGAAGAGGAGGAAGAATCCGAAAGTGAATCGGAAGATGAGATGAGCATATTTGCTAAACAGTTTGGGAAGATGTACCGTCGGTTCAAAAACAACAGAAATAAACAAGGTAAAATAACTTTCAATCTTTTAATAACCGAGGCTTTTTTGTTTGTGGTTCCTTCGAGCACAGGGCAAAAGACTGCCCACAAAAGATGAAAGATCGAACCTATGACAAGAACAAGTTCAGTTCTAACCAGAGGTCCAGCAAAGACAAAGGGTTCAAAAAAGATCTCAAAAAGACAATGATGGAAGCCTGGGGAGACTCATCCGATGACGAAGAAGAGGAGAATGATAAAAACTCTAACCATACAGGTTAGAGTTCTTCGTCCATAAGAACTTCGGCCATTATGGTTAGAGTTTTTATCACTCTCCTCTTCTTCGTCATTGGATGAGTCTCCCCTGGCTTCCATCATTGTCGTTTTGAGATCTCTTTTGAACCCTTTGTCTTTACTGGACCTCCGGTTAGAACTGAACTTGTTCTTGTCATAGGTTCGGTCTTTCATCTTTTGTGGGGAGTCTTTTGCCCTGTGCTCGAAGGAACCACAAACAAAACAGCCTTGGTTATTAAAAGATTGAAAGTTATTTTTACCTTGTTTGTTCCTGATGTTTTTGAATCGGCGGTAAATCTTCCCAAACTGTCTAGCAAATATGCTCATCTCATCTTCCGATTCACTTGCGGATTCTTCCTCCTCTTCTCGAGCTTTTAGAGAAATTCCTCTCTCTCGCCTTACCATCTCAACATCTTGCTCTTCTTGAAGTCTTAATTCATATGTCATCAGTGAATCGGTTAAGTCTTCAAGAGTCATGGTGGATAAGTCCTTTGCTTCCTCAATAGTCGTGGTCTTAGACTTCCATACCGAGGGCAAGCTTCTCAAGATTTTTCTCACTTATCTTTTACAGTAATTTCCTTTCCAAGGGTTGAAAGCTCATTGATGATATTAGTAAAACGTGTAATCATATCCTTAAGAGACTCTCCAGGCTTCATTATGAATAATTCATAATTACGCGTAAATATGTCAATTTTAGATTTTTTTAACACGTGAGGTACCTTCATGAGTAACCTCGAGCAAAACCCACATTTGCTTTGCAGTCTTACATCCTAGAACACGGTTGTGTTTAGCAGGACCAAGACCACAAATCAAGTATTTATGAGCTTGGGCATTATGCTCGAGTTTTTGATAATCATCAGTAGTAAATTCAGCTTTAGGTTTAGGAACAACTTTAACTTCGCCGTTTAGCTTTGTGATGATGTTGTCGCCACCTTCTATCACATTCCATACCTGATAATTATCGGCTTTGATAATGTTCTCCATCCGACTCTTCCAGAACTGATAGTATTTGCCATCGAACAATGGTGGTCGTTGAGTCGAGTACCCTTCTTCCCATCGGTCAACCGTATTCATTTTGCCGGATCTCTTCCCAAGGTATTAACCTCTATGTGGTGAAGACCGACTCTGATAGTAATTGATGAAACGGTTTGCAACACAAGATGGGGGGTGAATTGTGTGTGTGTGTGTGTGTGTGGAACCGTGGCAGTTTTTCGCCAAGTTCTTGTGTGGGGTAAAGGGAATTGTGAAATAGTAAAGTGCACAAGGATTTAACGAGGAAAAATCCATTGGCTCAAAGGGATTAAAAAACCTCGACCTCCCTCGGAGGAATTTTAACAACTTCACTAAAAAGCTTTTGAATGATTACAAGGGAAACTCTCCTAGTCTACCCTTGAGCCGCCCCAACTCTATTCTCACTAGGAAGAGTTATGCTTCTCTACCTTGCGGGTAGAGAGCCTCTCAGCTTTACAACAAAGCTCTCACAACACACGTTACCCAACCCGAGGAAGCTACACTTAGCTCGTCCTCAATAACCTAATTACAATATAAGAAGGGAATAAGAACTCTGTCTAGAACTCCGGGAGCAGTTTCAGGTGCCTTGGACTTAGTATATTTCTCGAGCATGTCTCTTAATATGTCTCTGGTCAAACACACTTTTTTCTCTCCAGCCACTTCGATTATATAGTCAGCCTTAGAATAAATCCGTTGGGGCCTTCTTCTCTTGAATAAATCAATGCTGATTCTTGCTTTGTTATAATTTAAAAATCCTTCCTTCGTGAGGCTTAAGTCAACCGAACCTATATGGACTCACAAAGCAAAGATCAATTAACGTAGAACAGCAGGGAAATAATTTATTATCTTACCATAATAATAGTACGATGGATTATGTAAAGATCCCACTCAAACCATTCAATCAAGGATGTCAATTTAATTTATATGGGAAGCAAATATTTATTCCAAAAAGCATTCCGTCAGCTTTCCATAAAGCAAGATTTTAATCATTAATGCTATGGTAAAAAAATTAAAAAATCGTAAAAACGTCGCCATTTTTAGGGATGCCATAATAATGGCAGATTCAATGAGAATTTTAACATAATAAAGAGTAATAATGTCATTTGCTTGGCATTTTCAGAAAAAATGACATTTTTACAAAAACATGACAGAGTTTTCACCAGTCGTAGGTGGTGGTGCTGGGAGGCAGTGGGAAAGGTATCCATATTTTTTTTATTTTACTATTTTTTATTAATTTTTTAAAACAATAAAAAAATTAATATTTTTTTTTTATTTTTTTATTTTTTATGGTTTGTTAATACTCCCTCCGTTCTCCTATACATGTATTTATTTCTATTTTGGGATGTTCTTTAATATTTCTCTCTTTACATTTTTTTATTTTTTTTGAGTAAGTATACCTACATATATACCCTCACTTGATGGGTCACATTCGGAAACAGTCTCTCTGTGCTTTATTACAGGGATAAGACAGCGTACATCCGATCCCCCTTACCCCACCGTAGGTGTGAGCCTTTGTGACACTGGGGTGATGATGATGATAATGATATACCCTCATTCTATTTCCTACTTTTTCATTCTCTTTTCTACTTTTTCATTCAAACACAATTCATTACACCTTTTACACTATCTTTATTATTTTCCTCTTAAAATTTGTGCCAAATCTTATAAGGTCATCTATTGGAGAATGGAGGGAGTATTTTTATTATTTTTTAAGATTTATTATGAAGTAAAACATTTCATTGTGAATTAATGCCCTTAGGGGTATTTAGTGTAGGAAATTAGGAATCAATGTTTATTTCCCTTAAAATGTAGTAGTCTTATTTGTGCATTTTAGGGATTTTTAGTCATACGACTCATACCTAGAGCAATTTCTATTTTATTAATCTAAATATGATATGGTTGAAAGAGAGATAAGTTTTATGGGACAATATTATGAAACGAAAATTAAAGAAACGACCAGTTCGATCAAATTCATGATTTTGTACAAATTCTGAAATGAACAACTCCGATCATCATGAGTAAATTGACTAAATTGCAACAATTTGGCTTAGAAACAGAAACATCGAGAAGAATTATGTTCCAATTCATTCTGCATTTGCCTTTGGCTAAGATTAGATAATGGACTCTCAACAGTAATTCTTTGACTTCTTTGACTTCTCTGGCTTCTTTGGCTTGGAGCAGGAGACTCAAACAAGTTCTCCTCTATTGCAACTTCATTGCCTTCACATATGATCTTAAAATCACAAAATTCTGGTGCATTTTGCATTATCTTATTAGCTGTGCTACCCCCCTTTTTATACTTTGTTCTCCTAAAAACAATAGATTCATAGATATAATAAAGCTCAAGTAAAATTATAAAGACAAAATCAAATTTGTCAGGTAAAAAAAAAATAAAGTGGACAACATTTTACCTCAGGTTTGCCTTAGAACTGCCCAGAATCAGCTTTCTGATGTTACATAGAGGAATGAGGTCCAATATTGCTTTTGCTTCTGCATCACTCTCTAAAACTATGGTTTCCACTTTAACCTTTGCCCAAGATGTTTTCCAAAAAAATATCAAAAAATTGGTATTTTTTTAAACAGTTTTTATTTACTTTTGATAGAATGTTTAATTTGTACCTTTGAAGCTGAGCACACATCAAGAAACTGCTTAAGGAACTCTCTCCTCTTATTTCTTTCCTGAGCTTTGTACTTCTTTCTCTGCTCTGGATTCACTTGGCTTATTGGAATCATCCCCACTGTACTTATCAAGAAAAAGAATTAATTGGCTTTGATAAAATCGTATCCTAAAAAAGTTGTGATTGTGAAGTTAATTACGTTGCGTTTCAAAGTTAACTGAAACAGGTTCACATTATTTTAATTAACGAATATCTAATAATTAGTTGAATAGTATCCACATCATAAAATAATGAAATACAAAGACAGGTAGCCAATTCTTAAGAGTATATAGTCTCAGTATAAAAAAAATCTTCTCATGGTCTTTTTTGAACGGTAACTACATAATCTTCGCATTTATAAATTTTCTCATCATACACTTAATACTTTTATAAATAATCTAGTATTCGTACACTGTTACAATTATTTTTAAAGGGAAAACTGTCAATTAGGTCCTCGTACTTTCACGAAAAAGTGAATTAGATGCTCATACTTTATAAAAATCAATCAAGTCCCCAAACTTTGTAAAAACGTTCAATTGAGTCCATTTGCAAGTTACTTGACATGTTAGCAAGTCACCCGCTGACGTGACACACGTGTGGCAGCCTAATCAGCAGAGACTTTGCTGACGTGGGGCACATGCGAAAGTCCAGTAAGCCACGTGTGCGCCACGTCAGCGTGTGACCTGCTGACATGGTAAGTAATCTGCAAATGGACTCAATTGAATGTTTTTATAAAGTTCGAGGATTTGATTGATTTTTTTAAAAGTACGATGACCATATTGACTTTTTTAAATCTATTTATTCATTGGGGTAATTTGGACGTTGCACCTCGTTTTTTAAAATCTTTGTTTTTGCACTCCAACTCCATATGAAAAGACAAAAATGTCCTCGATCGGGAATATGTTGAAGACCAACAGAATTGTTAATGGAGGGGCATTTTTGTCTTTTCATATGGGATTGAGATGCAAAAACAAATTTTTTTAAAAACGGGGTGCAAAGTCCAATTTGGGCAATAAAATGGAGTGCAAACTCAAATTACCTCTTTTTCATTTAGCACATTATTTCATTATTTGAGGGCAAAAAAGTCAAACGTTTATATCCCCCAATCACTATCATAATCTCACCAACTTCCCATATGAAAAGATATAATTACTAAATAAACAGTTCAAAGGTTTAAAAGCTACTCCATATTTAATTATTTACAGAATTTGTATTTTCTTCTAATGAACTTTTTATTGTACTCCGTATTCAATTTAACCTGAACAGTTATTACTGTCGTAAATTGTCATTATCTAGAGTATGACTATGATGGTTTATAGAGTGCGAATTTCAACATCAAAGTTGTTGATTATAATTTAGATTTGGTTGTTGAATAATGCAACACAAGAATTTGGGATGAATGAAATACTATTGGTATAGTGATGTGGGCCATTAAACCCATTTTTATACGGTGAATTTATATGTCGCAGGGGTTTGGTGCGTTAAACCCCATTTTTTGTCCCTTTTTATTTTATTCTTTTCAAAAACACGAACTCCATCCTTTCATTTTATGGACAACTATTGTTTTTTTTTTTTTTACTTTTTTCGAGCAATCAAATGTACTCATTTTAATTGGTTTCACATTTTCATTTTTCATTGGTCCAAAAATATACGGAGCATGTTTTAATCGAATTTGTCAAGTTTTGTCTACTCCGCATTATATAAGAAAGTGGACCGATCTCACAATTCCCAAACAGTTATTGAAGATTAATCATTCCAAATTGCTCACACCATAAAAAAGTTGGCGTGAAATGGTACCGAAAAGTGAAGACAAACAGGTATATAAATCTGTATATGTATTTGACTATTTCATAACGCTTTCTCATACCCAATTATCCACCCAGTTGTCTTCCCAACGATGCTCATAATCTTATACCCAAAGCAGGCTTCATTTCGTTCATGATTATTGCGAAATACTTTCTCCATTCATCAATAATTATATCTATATTAAAAAACAAACTTTGTTGAGAAAATTAATACGACACTGCGATATTTAACTGCGCAGTTATCTCCAAAAATTCATTTGACTATCTTCGCGATTGAAGTTTTAGGTGAAATTTGGTATGAGTAATCTGGACTTAATGAAGAAGATGATAAAAAAAAATCATCAAAAAAATCTGCTGGGAACCTCCCTAAATGACGATGGCCGGACAGAGCCACCTATATAAGGGTGATTTGCACTTTTTAATTTAGTTCCAGGGCCTATTTGACCTTTTAGCCATTTTTATTTAAACTTTATAATTCCAAATTGCATTATTAAAATAGGCTTTTCTCATTAAAATACTGAGTATTGCCAGGTGGAGAGTTGTTACCTGCAATACTACAACTTAATAAAAGTATATATACCATGGGGTAGTACGTCGTATGATAGTATTTGACAACTTTTTAGACATTCTTTTTTATACATACTATCCATTATTTAGTACTAGTCTTGAAAAGTGTTCACTTATTTAGTGAATTGATTTTGATATTAATTTTTATTTAAACTTTATAATTCCAAATTGCATTATTAAAATACGCTTTTCAGATAAAGCGGAAAGGAAACATATAAACAGCTAAAATAAATAAAATAATAAGAAGATGAAAAAAAGGAAACAAGTGTTGAGATGATATTAACAAAAAGGTAAAATTTCAATTGAGATAAATTAAAAAAATCAAACATGAGACTGTTTTGAGAAAATTAGTGAAAGATGAGATTATTCATGAAAGGTTTTCGAAGAACACAAAAAACTGGTATAACATGTGTCCGCCCGTGTGCGAGTGCTCATAACATTTACTACTTTCATCGAGTCAGTTTCTGTATATGTAAATTTTATTTATTAACATAACCTTATTATTGACAGTTAACTTTATGATCAGTCAAACATTGCAAACTGAAATGAGACCTTTTTCCGTGATGGAGGGAGTAATATTAAATGTTATTTGATTTTTCAATTGACTGAGGTTATTTTTTATACATTCACACTGTATACGAAGTGCTAGAGATCTAGAATCAAGCATATACTTGTGTGGTTCACAAAATGAAACTCATTAAAGTAGGACGATTGATTTAATGGTTAGGCTTTTGTAAACCACATCAAAAGTGAGGTAGAAATGGCATACCCAAAATGGGGTATACCAAACATGTACCATTCTTGGTGTACACAAGATGTACACAAAATGTGTACATTGTCTGTGTACACAGGCAATTTGGCATCAACTTCTGCCCCTGTTTTAACGAATTGCCTGTGTACACAAGTAACTAGGGGGGTTTTGTGTACAACTTGTGTACACCTAATGTACACTAAGCATTTTCCTACCAAACATAGCTCTTTTGGCTCCGAACGTACGACTGTTTAAGACTCATTTGAGATGCATGTACAATTGTACACTACACGGGTCTGTTTTGGAGTAGTATTGTTTCTCGAATTAATGATGACAAATTTCACACATTAAATTTCGATTGCAACAATATAAGATTATAAGTAGCTAACAATTTGTCCATTTTACGATCAAAAAAAAAACAATTTGTCCATTTTATTTGGAAAAACATGACCCAATTCAATGATTAGGTTATTTTAAGATTCCCATCAATATTTTAACCTTTAGATATTAACCCTTATTGGTTGTGATTCTTAATTAGCCTGCTCAACCAGAAGGCTATATCACTTTCCAACCCATTGAACTTGGATTTTTTGAACGATGCATTGTGAAAGAGTGAATGACGCGCCCTGAGGTCCTTGAGTCCCAAAATCTCATTCAATTTGTTAGAGAATTAAATTGAGCATCGAATATTACACAATAATACAATACGTTTTATAGAGTACTTATGAGAGTTTTCAAATAGTAATTAACCCTTTTTTAAGGATGTTTTAAATTGGACTGAAATTTTATGATCTAATCATATTTATTTAATTTTGTTCTGATCTGTCTAAATCTAATCTAAAAAGATGAAAAGGAAAACTTGAAAGAATATAAGAAAGATGAGAAAGTTAAAAAAAAAAAAAAAGATGAGATCAATCCTCCACACATATAATCTCCCACCACTTCGCTCTTCTTAAAGTCACATTCTCATCTAAACCAAGAAAAATCATATTTAATCCACGTTTGTCTGAATATTCATCTCGGTGGTTCACCATTTGTTAGAGGATTAAATATCATATTTAATCCACGCTCTTCTTAGAGGAGTATCTTTTTTTTTGGGGGGGGGGGTTACTCTAGGGGGCGTCTGGGGGAGGGCCTGGGGGGCCTGGAGTGATCATGACTAAAATCACTCCATTGAGTTTCGAACCTGAGACCTCCCGTAAGGGATCGGAGAATGAGTCGGCGACCAACTAGGCTGAACCGCTTCTTCTTTAATCCACGTTTGTTAGAATATTCATCTCCCTCTACTCCCACCTCTTATCCTCATGCCTCAACTCATCTAACCTTCTACCTGATTGTCTCACTCCTCAAGCAATCTTTTCTAGTACATGTCTGCACACCCAACGCAACATCTGCATCTAAGTCACACTCATCTTCTAAATGTGACATTGTCTCAACGTTCAACGCTCAATGCCATACAATAGTGTAGGCCTAATAGTTTTCTCAACTCTGATTAAATTGGTTGAATAGTCTGATTTGTCTGAATTTGTCGATTAAATAGAAATTCTAATAAGGCATTGTTCTATTTAATCACCTTGTTCTGATTTTATGAGATTCATCTTCATAAAGTTCATCGTCTTTCTGAAGTAAGAAGTCCCAGGAACAAAATATACCACCGACCAATATCTTCTTATTGTATAAGCCAAAACCACTATTACAATTGCTTCTACCTCCACTCGACTTGACTTCACAATCCACATACTTATTAGTTTTGTTTCTACTCATCCTGAAATATTTTTCTTAGAGTTTGTTGTCATACTTCCAACTTCACTTTAACACCTAATATTGCCTCATTAATCTACATAGTATCATCAACAAATACATGCACTACGGTATCTCTTCTTGAATTGATTTCGTAAGTTTATCCACGACTATAGCAAATAAGAAATGACGCAGAGCCGGTCATAGGTGCGCGTACT